GTGTGTGTGTTTGTGTGTGTAGAGTGTGTGTGTATGTGTGTGTGTGTGTTTCAGAGAGAGAGGTAGATACTGCAGAAAGAAAAAGTTGGTTGATCTTTGCCCTATACACCAGTTTTACAAATTACCTAAAAGCCTGTTGTGGTGGCTGACAGGTCACTCAGAGAAGAATGGCCCTTTTGATTGCATAGGCCCCGGGTACCAACATGACACCCTGGGCATCCTCATGGCCTTCAGTGGTAACAGTATCTGTGGACATCAGCACAAGCTGCGATTGTGGCAAGTATATGGACACAGATATGGCCCTTGGCTACAGCCCAGCACTGGACATCACCATGGTCCCAGATGGGAAGTAGGCCTCCCACATCACCCTGTTCCTCACCATCTTTGCCTTCCTATATCCACCTCTCTCCAAAGACATGAACCTCATTGCCTTCCTCACCCTTCCATACCCTCCACTCATATGCTCACCATAATGGTACTTGACAGCCCAGAGTCTTTTGGCACAATTTGAAAGGATTAGTAGGTGCTGCTTGTTTAGAAGAAGAGTGTCACCGAGCTTCAAGATTACAAGAAGCCCATCCCCAGGACAGTGACTCTCTCTTTTTTGTGGATTAGTAGGTGCTGCTTGTTTAGAAGAAGAGTGTCACCAAGCTTCAAGATTACAAGAAGCCCATCCCCAGGACAGTGACTCTCTCTTTTTTAAGATTTTATTTATTTATTATGTATACAACATTCTGCTTCCATGTATATCTGCACACTAGAAGAGGGCACCAGGTCTCATAACGGATGGTTTTGAGCCACCATGTGGTTGCTGGGAACTAAGGACCTCTGGAAGAGCAGTCAGTGCTCTTAACCTCTGAGCCATCTCTCCAGACCCAGTGACTCTCTCTTACTGCTGCCCATGGATCTGGATGTAGACCTCTTAGCTACTTCTCCAGGACTATGTCTGTCTGCATGACACAATGCTTCCTTCCTGATGATAATGGACTCTGAAACTGTAAGCAAGTCCCACTTAAATGTTTCCCTTTACAGAGTAGTTTTGGTCATGCTTCTATTCACAGCAATAGAACAGTAACTTAGACAGAAGTTGATATCAGAGAACAGGGTGATAGACCTGACCATACTGTTTTTTGGCAGAATGTGGACTTTGGGAGTTTGGATTAGTTGAAACCTTTAAGTGGAGCTTAATGGGAGACAGTGGTGCTGGGGTTGATTTGAGCTGCCCCACCCCACCCCCCACCCCTTGAGCTCAAGAGCTTTCAGAAGAGAAGAATATTACTAAGTGTCCCGGAGACCATTCTTGTGATAGTTTGGCAAAGAATGTAGCTGCCTTCTGCCCTTGTCCAAAAATCCTGATGCTAAATGGAAGAATTTTGGATTAATGGCATTGGCAGAGGTGATTTCAAGCCAGCCTAGATTTGACTGTGTCATATGGTTATTAGTGGTCACTCTTATGCAGATATATAACTAAAAGGAGACAGCTGATCAAGGAAAATACAAAATGTAGTTTAAAGAAAAAAAAAGAGCATCAGGAACTATATTAGAGCAAACTCCAGTGCTCAAGGAGCAAAAAAGTCTAAACAAAAGCCTGATGCTAAATAGAATAAAGGGATTGATGACCTCAGAGCAAGAATTCACCCAGCTAAGCTTCCAATTTGTGGAAAAGTAATTAAAGAAAAGCTTAAGCAGTGGAAGAAATGATCAAAAACAGAAAGCTGGTGAACAGATATTTGAACAAGGAGTCAAATTCCAGCCCCTTCAATCAGCAGATCTTGGCAGCTTCAGCCACTTGGTTCTGGCTTTAGAGTTAAGAATATGAGGAAAGGGCTTCTGCTGTTGTAGGGTATCCATCAGAGTATACTACTGGGACATGGGTTTAAGCCAATAGAAGGTCTTCATTAGCTGGTCAGTGACTACACTGGGTGTTCAGGACCTGAGTGCAGTTCCAAGCCTTTCTCTGGGTGAGCTTTAAGCACAAACACCATATTGTGGGTTGGCATACTTCAGTAACAAGACAAAGCAGAATTACAGAAGCCAAAAAGCAAGGTAGAGACTTTCCCAGAACTTTGGGCTTGGATAGATTAGGACTTCGTTTACATTTTGGATTGTGGTGCTGAGTTTTACAGCCTGAATGGTACTTGCAGCATGCAATCAGCTGTCCTATGTCTGGGGGCCTGTAAACATTCTGCACTAGTCGAAGTGAATGAGTCAAATCATGGACTTATACTACTCTATAGTATAAGATAGAGGGCCCTTCATGAATCCAATCAGAATGAGAATCAAAGGACAGTCAGTGTTGGTAACAGAGTAGTTAGCCAGGGCGACCAAGAGAACACAGACTGACACCAATTATCTGATCTCTCTGTGTCTCTCTGTCTCTCTGGGTGTGTCTATCTGTGTCTCTGTGTCTCTATCTGTCTCTGTGTGTGTCTGTCTCTCTCATCTTCCCTGCTTTCTCATCTTCCCCAACCATGACTTTTTTTCTAAATACTCCTGATTAACCAGCATTAAATCAACAAGCTTCTCAGAAGTCGCTTTTGTGTCACGGGAAGTAAGTCTAAGCCTTTCTGATTTTGTACAAGCACATCTGGAAGAGAGTCTAACTGTTGTTCTCATTCAGAAACAGAAACTAACAATGCCTCTAGGTCTTGTCAGCCTATCTACTTAGTTTCCTCATGTTTTGTCTCCCATGAAAAAGACTGATGTGTCTATAGCTGTTGATTTGGCTATCCCTGCCCTGACCAGGAGTAGAAGGACAAGTATAACTCTTTATTTGCTTGTTTATTGTAGTGCATGGTACATATTGTTTTTTCCCATTATATAAAGCATCAGAAGAAGCACATTTGTTAATCCATTAGTACAGTCCATCCAAGTAGTCTCAGGGGCTTGGTAATATTGCTATTGTCTAGATGAGTTGACCCACAAGGCAGGCATCAGAATAAGGGGAAATACCTAGGTTAAAGGTTTTTCTGTAATAGACAAGTTTAAGACCCTTGTAAAAGTCTTCTGATGTTATTTGGGATTGCTACCACCTGCCTCTTGCAACAAAGAGTTATAAACTGACAGTCTGGTTAGTTCCTATTTCTATGTACCATGGAGGCTGGGTGTCTAAACATAACCAGCAATCCCAGCCAATTTCAGGCTGGGAAAGACAAACTCTATGTCTAGGATCCCTTCCCATGGGTTGGATCTTGATCCCCGGGTTTTCCCTGTTTCCCAAAGGCCAGGCTCTTTTTTTATAGAATTTTCAGTTTTTTAATTTTATGCCCATTGAATTACATTTTCCTTTTATGCATTGCTAGGGAGAAGGCTTTCTTCCTATACATTCATCCATGTCTTTTCAGGAAACCTCTGTTTTACAGTCCCACTTTTTACAAAGGAAACTCTAGGAACAAGGTATGCATAGAATTGTTATCTGTATATACATATCTCAAAATATAAACTTGCACAGCGTTTCTTTTTCCAGTATAACCAGATATTTAAAGTGGACCTTAGTGAGCAAAGTTAGAGATGAAGTATGGGTTGCTGTTCAGTAGCCACCTTAGTTATTACCTTCCCTGTCTTTCCCAGTTACAAGGGCCAGGTCTGTGGGCAGTGGGGGTTGGACAATGACACTGTATTCATACCATACATAAGACTCAGGAGGAAATAGCAGAGCATTGAGTGGAAGGACTGGGTCCCAAGTAAACCTTCATTTTAACCGGTCCATAGTGTGGGAAACAGTGCATTTGGCAAAAGTGTCTGGTTTACACTTTCATGACCTGTGTGTGCTGGGTCCATGTGTAATGCCAGCAAACTTCACCACCCCTGGAGTGAAGAGAATCCCATCCCATCACCCAGACAGTATCATCAGACTCAAAGCAAAAAGCGCTGAAGGACTAGAAGAATGGTATGTTTCTCAGATAGTTCAGTGAACAGCCTGTTTGAACTACTGGAATGCTTGTAGTGACTTGAGAAAGAAATGGTTTTAGAGAATTTTACCAACTGCTGGAATCTGAATTGGGGAAGCAGTAGGGAAGTCTTCCAAACATAATCTCATAGGGAGTAAAACCCTCCCTACATGGGACTCAGGGTACCCAAAGGGAAGGAAAGGAAATGGGTCTATATACCCTCAGTGGATTCCAACGGGAGTTTTGTTACAGGTGTTTGGGGACTGTTTTGTTTTAATGTCCTCATTATTCTATTTATCTGCCCAGAACTCTGAGGTCTCTATGCACAATGAAGATTCCAAGCTATCTCTAAAACTTTCACTATGCATTTTCAAAGATTTGATTGATATTATCTACAGTCAGTGGGGAATGGCATAATGGCTAAAGAAATTGCATTTTATGTTAGGCTCTTCCATTTTGCTACTTAATAACCATTTGACGCTGACTTAAATCCCTGCAAGATAAGATGCCAGTAACTTCAAATCAGTGATGTCCCCCAACCCTTGACAAGAAGTGTGCACCCATGACCACCTCTTTTGTTGTATCATATGACTAGCTGCCTTTTTGTCTTCTGTAACCTGCTTAAGCAGACACTCAAGGAGTATTCTTGGGTCCCCTTGACTACTTAATTTTTCAGAGCAAAATAGCTCTTGGTTTGCTATTACAGACACTCGAGGTCTTTGAGGTTTTCACATTTAAAACCCTGCCCTCATCCTCACCACTCTTAGCTCAACAGCCTCTGGTTTGGTTCAGCATTTGTTTTCCTGCTAGCTGCTACAATACATTTAGCTGATTATAATTATTATGTGAAATGACTCTATGGTCTATTCCCAGGGTCTCTTACTTCGTGATATGGGGAGTAATAGAAGGTTTATAAGCTTGAACTAAACCCTGTTTGAGTGGGTGCAGAGCACAGACTTCCTGATCCATATATGCCCCAAAATGTGCCTGTCTGGGTTGCTGAGATGATTTAGCAGTTAAAATGCTTGATATGTGAAACTGACAACCTTATGTTTGATCCCTGGATCCTGCATAAAGATGGAAGGAGACAACTGATAACACAGAGTTGCCCATGACCCCTAACACATTTCAAGACATGAACATGAACACATCTGGCAATACTCTTAATACTAAAATTTTAAAAAATAGATGGGCTTATCCATGTCCTAACAGATGATCAAAGTTTAGAAATTGGCTGACAGGGCTCAGTAGCTGGCTGTGTTTTTTAGGGTATAAAGTAAGGAGTGACTTTATCTAGGCCAGCTCTTATATTTATGACATAATCAATTTGTCCTGCAGGAGCATGTGTTACAATTGTACAACATGCTTTTTTTTTCAGTTATATTAGTGTGAGCATCAGACCTTAAGCCTTAGATGAGTTTCTCAAACAAATAATACAACCTATAGAAATACATAGGCACAGAAATCAAGGTTTGGCTATAGACGGTTTATTTCACTACATTGTAATATTCATTACATATTGCATGCTTTAAAGCTGTTAGCGCTAACAATGCAGATGAACATTACTTTTGATCATAGACAAGTATCAAAAAGTAGTAAATTTGAAGTCAGAGCATAAAGTTTCACTGACACCCAGTAAGTTCGTTGGGTGTCTGTGGAAGAAGTGAATATTAAAGTACATCTCCCCACAAAAATTATCACATCCTTCCTTTTACCCCAGACCTTAGAGAACCTGCCAAGTTCTAGCCCTTTGCCCTCCCTTCAACACTCAGCCCCATGAAGTGCAGGCAGGAGATGGCTACAGCTCAGCAAGAGGAAGCAGCTGGACCAGGAGAACAGGTAGCACCACAAGCAGCAGGAATGCAGGGCTGTCTCTGGTTCCTGCAGATGGGAGGAGAAGGAAAGGCTTCATGTGGGATATCTCAAGACACAGGTGTCTCCCCTAAACGTTCAGAACTTTACATCCAGTTCAACACCCAGGAGAGTAAGCTCCAGGGTTCAGTGTGCCTGGCTAGACTCTTCTGGCTTCCTCAGATTCCTAAAGAACTCAAGTAACAGGAGGTGAGCAAACTGATGGATGGACCACTTCCGGATCCTGTACTCTAAGACTCTGACTGGGGAGAAAAGCCTTTCCTATCTGAGTCTTCCTGGCTTTTTGGGGATCCCTATGGGCTTTTCCTTCTTCACCCAAGAAGAGGTCTCTGGGTCTGAACCTTCTGAAAGTCCATTGTTGCAGCAATGTGGATTCCTTCTGTCAGCTGGTGTGAACTAGAACCTACCTGTGGCTCTCAGCCTGCCTGGACTGGACATCAACTGTTTCTCCCAGATGGACAGCATCTCTCTGGCTGGACTGTGCCCCTGGGTAGGGGTCATGATTTCCTAGGGCTTCATCCTAACTCTGAACTTCTCTATGCAAATGCATGAAGTCCCTGTGATCACTTCCTGTAGTTCCACTTCAGCTCCAAAGACTTCTCATGTTTCCAGAAACCCCTCAGAGTTTCAGGGCTGATTGGAGCTATGATGACTCAGCACTCAGTAGTCTAACTGTAACTCATTTCAGGTTGGCTCCCTCCCCTCTCACTCAAACATAACTTCCTGGGACAACATAGAGTGGAGCCTGGATGTGAGTAAAGGAAACACTGCATATCTGAGTGGTGAGGAGTAGGAGACAAGGTCTCTAGACTGTAAGCAAGTGATGTTCTTGCTTGGGCCCTACTCCGGCACAGCTTTGGATCTGATGGCTGAGATGTGTACATAGGTCTTCATGATTAAAAACACAAGGGATTTGGTGAATGACATCTACATGCCAAGTCATGTGTGTTGAATGATTCTCTTTAAATTCTCAAAGCAATAGGACTAGAGTATTTGTCATTTGAGTCTACCATTCAAATGGGGAAAATGAGGCACAGATATTTGGGTAGTTGCCAAGAGGCATAAAGCCACCGATGCTTGAACCTAATTACAATTGAGTGTGACTCCAAACCTATGACAGAGAACATGTTACAGTAATTTTCTCTGGAAGTATTGAGGAAGGATTATTATAATTGATATTTGAACTATGCCTTGAAAGGCAGACCCAGACTCACACTCACCTGAGCTGTAGAAGCAGTTGAAGTTGCTTTTCCCTCTTTTTTGGGAGGTCAGATAAATATTGTCATTTGCTTTTCCACTTGGGGTTACACTGACTTTGTGATATACTTCATAGCCTGGAATTAACACCTCCTTTTGTTCAGGATTGTGGGAAAATTCAGTTATGTGAACCCCCAAGCAGGTTTCAATGATAAACAGTGTCCCACTAGCACCACCAAAACCATTAAGAGCTACTCTCTCTTCCAAAGATGAGGAAGCAAACTGCCCAAACCGCACAGAGCCCTTCCCGCTGTAATGAAATTTGTTTGTGGTGCCTCGGTAAACTGTGTAACATTTCTTGTTATTCAGAAGCTGAAGAGCCCTTGTTAAGTAGTAATGGAAGGCCTTGTAATGAAAGTTACTGGGATTTTTCTTAAATTCTCTAACAGCTTTGTTAAAATCTAAGTAGATGGCCCCAGTATAAGTTACTAAAGCTGTTCCGTGATAATCACTGAAACCTTTGGGATAGCTCCTTGTCTTTTTTATCTCCTTCCATTTTTCCTCTGCCTTTTCCCACTCAATTTTTAAGTCCTTATTCATGCTGAAGTCTTCTTCTAACAACTGGGGTGCTTTTTTCTCCATATCTTGGACACAGCCCTCACCCTCACCACCAAAGCCCCCGGGAGCCATATCCAGATTGAAAGACTCAGCCAGGCCTGTCACCTGAAAGGAAGAAGTACAGTTCTTTGTTACTAGCTAAGTTTGCTAAGTTTCAACACATGCTGGCTTCTGTCTGGAGTCTACAGCATGAGATGTCACATACTCCAACCTCATATATGGCATATGCATGCTCACAATATCATTATGTTATAAGGGGTGCAGAAAGGTAAGGCTGATATCTCTGATTCTTTTGTGTCTATGGATACTACATTTTCCTATTTCTTCAATCAAATTTTTAGTCAGCATACAAATAAAAGGCCT